TCTAGGTTACTTGTATTGGAACTGATTGTTTCTGTGACTTGAACTTTGACCCTTTGTGTATGAGGTTTCTTTCTTGTCGGTTGATAAATTTTGTCTACCTCGATGTGTCTATTGATTGATGATTCACTGGAATGCCAAGCTTCTAAAAATTCTCTAGCATTCTTGTTATTTCCTTTGTCTAATATTTGAACGTTGTCCCAGTCAAATTGATGTCCGTGGTTGTCTGTGTGTAGTGAAATAAGGGAGTGGATATCATATCTTTTGACGGCTAGCTTATGTTCGTGGATACGAAGACGAAGGGGACGTCCACTTTGGCCAATGTAGTGTTTTTCGTAGTTGTTACAATTTATTTTTTGTAGATGATGTTGGTTTTGTTTTCTTTCGCTGTTGAGTCTTTTGGTTGACATAGAATTGAGTGCAGCGACTTTGTTGGTTTGTGTACGACGTCAATTCCTAAAGGTTTGAAGAGTCTTTTAGTGATTTCTGAGATATCCTTCGCTTCAAATTGAATTATGCGCTTAAGATGTCACCCAGTAGGGCAATAAAAGCTTCGCAAACTAACCATCCAGCTCAGAGAACAAAACCACATCAAAATTATCTACCTGAGCTACAAATCTTCTCTATCATACCTAAATCTTACGAGCGGGAAGAGGAAAGGTTTGGCATGAGGCTAGTAACCCCATCCTGTAAAAATAATCACCACTGCTACAGAAACTTCAAGCCACTAGCTTGAAGCCCTATGTTCCACTGGGAACGTGCAGGAAAATAAAAAAAATTATAATACTATACTATGCAAAGTTCTATGTTGAAACCAGTCAGCCAGTCAGTCAGTTAGTGGAGAAATCGTAGCTTACTCCGCAGAAATAGTATATGTCATTCTTTAGTCAGGAGCGGAATTAGCCTCTACATGTAATACATGAGTGAGAACTGGGGACTATGGTATTATACAGTCCCGTACTAATTTGTTTGCTGAATTTATATATCACTTAGTGGAACAGTATTATTTAGCGGATGATGATGACGTTTCGATCACAGCTTATTAATCATAAACATATCAGTTCGTAGTTTTCATATTTATTAGCAGTTTACACAGCTCGGAGAGATGGAATTTCACCGAGGTTTCTTTTGGAAAGCAAATTATTAAGATCACAGTATACGTGGGTCTACTTCATACGAGATATGACCACTAAAAAAGTAAGTATATTTGCATGAATGATTGGTATACTACTGATTTCAATTAATCAGTAGTTTACAATTTCATGCGTATATTCTTGATTTTTAGATTACCACTTAAGGTTTGAAGCGGATCACATGTACAGTAAGCTGAATGATTAGGTTTCTAAAGAAAACTGCTATGAAATTCCATTTCGTCGAACTGTGTAAATTGCATATAGTGAACTTGATTTGTGGTGCTACTAGTGCGTCGGTAGCACAGTGGTTAGGACCCTCGCCAACCATGCACGTGGTCCAACGTTCGACCCCCTGCCGGCGCACACCTGATATCTATGGTCGGCCTGCTAAATTCGGGCTACCGATATCACATGCCGAAAATTTCATACTTGTACCAAAAGTACGCTGTGCAATCAAGCTGTAATGAAAAAAATATGCTGGAAAACATCGTATAATTGTAAATGAGTTTTCAAGTATTGGTTTGTAGGGATTTGGTTGATTGGTTACAGGATTTCACCATGAGCTGACATTGTTTAGAGATGTCCTGAGTTCGAACCATGGTGGGTGCGTACTGCTGAAGAGTCTCAAACTAAGATGAAACAGCTGTCCAATACTCCCTGCAGGTTTTTCAATCGTTCTCTAACCAATGTTTGCTCATGATGAAATGCTGTAACCAATCAATGAAATCCCTACAAACCAATACTTGAATATCAAAGAGATGCCCACTGGCGACTGGCCCTATTCAGGTAGGTAGTTACCTTGGGTTCTAGTGGGAAGTCGTGACCAGTAGGGTGCAGCAGTTCAGGTGTGAGGACAAATATTCAACATTGGCTAGAGGTTGCGCTATGCCATGAATTGGCATGGCCATTAGTTCGGGTCCCAGTGGCTTTATGGTCTACGAGCTCGCCTTGTAACCGGGAGGTCCTGGGTTCGAACCGTGGTGGTGGGTGTCTACTGCTGTCCAGTACTCCCAGGTTTTCCAGTTGTTCTGTAACCAATGTCAGCTCATGATGAAATCCTGTAAATGAGTTGTTTGAATTTTATTTCCCTCACTTTACTAGCAAATTAAACAAAATATAATGTTTTCATTGACACAGCGACAACTCGTCTACTTTAAACGATTTACTAGTGACCGGTTGAGATGAACTGTGTGTTGTTGTATACCACATGTATCAAACAGCAGTGCCTGCTGTTCCGTGTTGAACTAATCTAAACAGCAGGCGGCCTTTTCGATTATCTGGGGCTGAGTTCATCATCGATGTACTCGGTTCGATTGCGCTCAGAAAGTTGAATAAACTCAAACTGTCAGTTACTTGGCCTAGTTTGTAACATGATAAATCGGATTCGTTGTTTACAAACCGATTTCATCAAAGAAAAATTCCCATTTAGACATTTAGAAGACAAAAGGAATGAGACAAGAAATATTTGCTTTTCAGTTATATCCTCATATATGGCTCTTGCATCTTGCCTATTATTCTCCATTGTTCCCTCTCAATTTTTCCAGGGTTACTGAAGAAGGACTATATCTTATTACGTGGAATGTTAAAGGGTTGTCAGCAGGGTAAGCAATGTGCCACTTAACCAGCTTGTTAATATTCTGGTCGACAGGCACTTAGACTTATGTGAAAAATGGGCTAAATCCGTTCTATCTAACTCACACCACCCGCTTCATTCACAACTCTCCCCTTGTATCTAATCAGGCAAAACCAGAAGCCTATATAGGAAACTATATGCTCGCACTAGTATGTACAAAAACTCGTGTTCTGTGCGATAAAGAAAGCATCAGGCGTGAAACTTATAACTTATCTTACAGTCAGTAGAACAACTGGATCTCGTCTTTCCTACTCATATCATTTATAGGTACAACGTTTTCTTTCTTCTATCCCTTTTCTCTCTTTCTTTTTTCTGTTATGTGCTGTTTTGTTTTCTTCTTCCCTACTAATTCTATTAAAACATTCTTCGTTCTCTCACACTCTGTATATCTCGACCTTTTTCTTGCCGCTTACGCCAGTAAATATTCCAGCATCTACTTTTCTAACACCTTGAAATTCTTTGTCCAATTTTGGCTTTGCTACCGACATGCCAATATGTTGTTGTCAAAACTAACTGAGATTACCCTTAATCTATGTAGAATTTTATTTATTGATAATGCACTAAATGGATGTAATACTGTAGTGAAATGGTGAGAATTCCATTCTGTATCACAAGTACTGTTTTGGGATGAAGCAAATTATATACATATTTACATAATTTGTTATGTTTATGTTAAAATCACGAATTTGTAGAAGGTAGAATTCACGAGTTATTGGATAGGGTTCTAATGGCTTAATCGTCTACGAGCTCGCCTTGTAACTGGAAAGTCTTGGGTTGGAACCCCGGCATGGGTGCGTGCTGTTGAAGAGTCCCAAACTGTGACGAAACATTTATCCATTACTTCCTGGTTTTTAATGTTTCTCTGACAGATATCAATCCATAATCAAACTTGAACCAAATCGAATCTTGTACAAATCAACTCCTGAAAGTTGTCCAGTTGTGTGAAACGACTAAGTCAAAGTGTGAGTATTTCGCATAAATTACAAGGCAGGTTTAAGATACTTTCCTTTCCTTTCCTTTCCTTTGAGGTTCACAATTTATCAATAACTAACATTGTTACAATCACAATGCAGACGTATCGTGATTCAAAGTAGAAGGAAGCTGACTTTGCACACACCAAGAACGAATGATTTGATAGTCTTGGTAATATGACTCAACATTATTTTCAACGGTGTAGATGCATTTACACTTCACCATCTCCCGAATTCATCAAATCTTTAGTATTTTCCACACAATTTTGCTTTTGTTCATGCATTTACCAGCTTGAAAGACTTCACTTCACTGTGTGATATCCTACGCTAAAAGTTTAAGTTAGTTTAATTCAACTAGCAGACTGAAATTAAGTTTACAGGTCGCTGAAACTAAAAAGATTTTCATGATGTCAAGATGAACAGTTGGTGAAGCTTTTGTATCATTGAAATATCCTTTAACAAGTTATGAATATAACCATTAAATATATAGCAAAAATATTCATTCAGACATCTATTAAACACAGAATAATCCAGAAAAGAATATTCTTTTCGATAAATTCCTCTTCCGGCTCTACAATTATATATATGTTTATATACACAGAATATTCTAGATTAGTAGTTAATAACAATATTAGTGTTTTTTAAATAATATCGATCTGTAAAGTATGATCAATGCAAATACAGTTCACTAAAGATACTTAAATTATAATAATAATAATGATAAAGATAAAATAGCGAATAGAATATCAACTAAAATTAGGAAAATTCCACAAAAATTGAGGATCATTCAAACCTGGATGGCCAAGGTAAGGACAGTGTCTGAATTAACTTCTTTTGGACGAATAAATTAGGCTTCGTAATGTGGATCCCCACAGCTTCAGCAATATTTAGTAGGCGAACTCTTAAGGCAAAACTGAGATTCGTAGGTATGTGGTAAATGATCCTGAAAGCATGGCTAACGTCAATCTTGTGTTCTGTATCCACAAGATGAGTGAGATAGAATAGTGCCGCGAATAGATTTTGTTTGTCGTTTGCTTAACCACTATGCAGGGTGATGCTCGGAAATTCGACGAGAAACACGCCTAATTGTACGGCCTATGTAACTGGCTCCACAGGAGCACATCATGATCTCCGTTAAATATTCTAAGGTTCACATATATGTAACCTAATAACTACTCATTATACTTGTGTACTTCTTCTCCCATCATTTCAGATAATCGCCGCCTTTTGTGGTAATAAGATCAAAAGTCATCAAAATAATCAGTAATGACTGATTTATCACGTTTCAAATTGAAGTCGATCACTGATAAATATGGTTGTACAAAGATTATGACTAAGATTGATCAGTACATAATTGAGCATTCCCTACGTTTATCAGAAGCACAAAAGTGGTTGTTACAGGTTCTTTTCTCTGTGTTTATTTAACACCTGAATCTTAACCCCCCCCCTGTTAGAAAACTAAACAACATCCAAGAGCGTCAAGATTGATTTCAAGTTTAGAAATGCAATTTATGTCCAATATATGTTATGCGATCAATGCTAAAAAGACACTTGTAATCGGTAAGTGCTAACTGACAATATATATATACACATTGTCTATAGATTGGTTTGTGAGGGTTAGTTATGTTTTACGAGTTGATCACGGATCGATATCAATTAGAGAACCATTGAAAACCAGGGAGTACTGGACAGATGCTGTTTCATCCTAGTTTGGGTATCATCGGCTGTACGTACCACTGCCAGGGTTCGAACCCAGGACCTTCCGGTTACAAGGCAAGCTTGTATACCATTCAGCCACTGGGACTCGATTCAATGGCCAGCCCATGAATTCTACCTTCTACCAATTCGTGATTTAGTGCGACCCCAACCATTGTCGTTGGTGGGACATCCATCCACACACGTGACATCTAATCGGATCTCACTGGTCACGACTTCTCACTACAACTCCTAGAAATTCCATCCTGTAGCAATGGTATATGAGCTTACCTTGTAACCAGAAGGTCCTGGGTTTGAGCCCTGGCAGTTGGTGCGTACTGCCGATGATCCCCAAACTAGGATGAAACAGCAGCTGTCCAGTACTCCCTGGTTTTCAATGGTTCTCTAATTGAAATCAGTCTGTGATCAACTCGTAAAAATATATACATTGCCTTTTACATGTTGCTGTATTCCTCAGTAATGTAGAGTAGTATTCATCTGACAAATCCTGGCGAAATTTGTGCCTTTATCAACAGTCACTCCCTTGTTTAAACTTTGGATCAGATATTTTGTGTACTTGTTAATTAAATTATTCCTAATGATTTCGATTGACTACAGATGTCCATTAAAACGTATTAGAAGACTGATTAGTGAACAAAAAAATATTCTCACTAGCAACTGGCCCTATTCAGGTAGATAGTTACCTTGGGTTCTAGTAGGAAGCCGTTACCAGTGGGGTGCAGCAGGTTGGGTGTTAGGACAAATACTCGCCGAAGACACTGGCTAGCGGTCGCAGTATGCCGTAAATTGGCAGAAGTTAGAATTCATGGACTGAGCATTGGGTCGAGTCCCAGTGGCTCAATGGTATATGAGGTCGCTAGCCTTGTAACCAGAAGGTCCTGGGTTCGAACCGTGGCGGTGGGTGCGTACCCCTGAAGAATCTCAAACTAGGACGAAACGGCTGCCCAGTATTCTCAGGTTTTCCAATGGTTCTCTAACCAATGTCAGCTAGTGATAAAATTCTCCAACTAAACAAACAAGAAAATCCCGGACGAAACCAATACTTGAAAAAATATATTCTCCCTGACATTCACTTCTTCATCAAGTTCTACAGTTATATAAATCTATAATAATAAAAAAGTTATTGTTATTGGCTACAGTAAATTTTCTTACATAAACTCATATCATCACAGTCAACTGATTACACCTGAATTAATTTGATGGATGGTGAGTGTCAGTAGAATCCAGGATACGCGTTTCGTCCTATGAGGGATTGATCGTCCGGATTTCCCTGCATTCTCTAGTGAGTGATGGTGTTCCCACTGAGTTTCTAACCCCTGTCCATAGTTGCGAACCCCAAATCGCTATCAGCTAGACATGGATTTCGCGCCCCAAGTGGTCTAGTGGATAACTCCTCGGTGTTTGAAACTACAGGTACTAGGTTCAAGACTCAGTGGGAACACCATCACTCACTAGAGAATGCAGGGAAATCCGGACGATCAATCCCTCATAGGACGAAACGCGTATCCTGGATTCTACTGACAGTCACCATCCATCAAACTAATTCAAGCTGGATCCTCAGATATCGTGAAAGCATCCACAATATGAGCCGAAATGTCAACATGAGGCCAAGCACTTAGGTTTAATCACAATCAATAATAAAGTTCAAAATGAATTATATAATGAAGCGATTACAATTTGGAACATGCCAGTATGCGATAATAATATGTATAAACGTAATAATAAACTAAATATCAGATAAATTAAGAAAAATTATACAGAATTTATGAATCTGTAGGTTTCATAGCAGGTACCAGTAGCAATAGTGACTGGACCTGTTTCTGTTGTTCACAGAGTTACGACTATTTAAAGCGAATTGGTGTGGCTATTTGGAGTGTTCAGTATATGGCGGCTTTTAACAGTTTATTCGACTCCCGATAAATGACAGGAAAAGACCCTTCACCACTAGCTTTATGGCCTATTTTCTAGATCAGATGATCTAATATCGAACTGTTGCTGGTTTTAAATACACCTTTATTTAGCCATACTGGTGGGTGTTCCTATAATGTCCCAAGAAAAAAGGCCAAGATAACGGGCTCCAAGGGAACGGTTGAATTGATATATACAAATAAGAGGTGGCTAGCCTAGATTACTTCGTCTTTCAGTTTCATAATTACAATAATTGAAGAAGAAGTTTCCGCGAAGAATATTGCTTATTCATTAATCAATCTTTTAAAATAATTTTTTTATATTGAAAGATACTTTTGGATAATGAAAACAAGTGTATCAGATAAATGACTCCTTTCTGAGAATTTATTACCCATCTATACAATCGTATATAAATGCTTTCTTTAAATAAGATGGTAGTGAAGCTTTAAAAAGCTCATTAATTCAGCATGTAGTCAGCGTTTCTCAACAACCTCTTCCTTTAAAATTATGCATTAGGCGCAAAAATAACCTGCCAAAATCATTACACATTCAACACATCTATATTTCTGAAGTACTGTCCATCGGTTCAGAGAAGCCATAGCTTAGCATACAGAAGAAGTTTGCTTAACCACTCCTTATCCTTTCATGGTCTGAAACTGTCTATTTTGAATTATTGTAGTTCTTATTTCTACCTTGGTTCTTATTATTTATCGTCTTGTTTATTCAGTCTGTTTATCCATCCCTTATTATGTCGATCAGTATTATTATTTTCACTCTGGACAATTTCTGGTACTATTTCACTTGTCATCTCGCTCATATTTAATCTCATATAATTTTCTGCGACATTATAGAAAGTGTTAATTTGCAGGGATTTGAATGGTTGTAAGTTAGATCACGTGTTAATATGATATACAGAACCAATGAAAACCATGAGTCATTGAACCTGAAGATCATGGGTTCAACTCTTGATGGAGTTGTGGGTGTGTGCCACCGAACAGCCTCAAAGTAGGATGAGACAGTTGTCCAGTACACTGAATAAGATCAGCGATTTAACTTTTTTTTTTATCATAGTCCTCTCCGTGTTAAGTAACGTTTTAATAGCCTATTATTCCCATTGGTTTATAGCCCAGTGTTTTGCATTCCATGAACTATTTTATAAATTATACTATCATCATTCCCTTGAATTACCAATGGGACATAGGGCTTCAGAAGCCCATCTTCATTTCATCCTGTGTCTTGCAGTCTGATTAAGATAACTCCATGATTGCCCACAAGCTTTCATATCCTCTTCACGCTATCTTCCGCACGTTACTCTTCAAGTGACGCTTGACTCACCGTTTCCAACTTGGGTTCCACTCAAGGGGAACAACAGTAGACAAGGACCAGGCAACAGATCGTTTATTAAGGAAATCAACACATATTTATAGATTTTCATATACGTATTATAGATTATTGTTAGCAGAAAAACACAGTCTTCTGTTTGGTTGTTTCTTACAGAAAGTTAACCTTGCATTTCTTTGTGGCTGTTTGTTGAATGTTCTGTCATCTATATGTTAACTGTATCCACCTACGCAAGGCCTTTGTTCTTATTTTTCTCACGACCAATATTAGGAACATAAACATTGACGTAAGTTACTGTCCACCAATTTCGGCTAACAGCCAGCTCTCACCACAGCCCTTCGAAAATGATTTTGGTAGGTGATATGCCAATATTTTAGACCTTACAGGAGCACTGACTGACCTGACACAAATGTTAAAAATCCGGAATTTGTTTTCTACGTTAAGTGTAGTCGATTTCAGATTAATGAAAGTCTCCCTTACTCTTCCAACGCTGACTGATTTTGACATCCTCAATCGTGCCACATGTAGTTGAAATGATGCTACTGCCTACATAAATAAAAGAAACAACTTCCTTCAGATTTTCCCCACTGATTCTGACGGGTGGTAAATCAATACTGTAGGTTTCGTAACCGATTTTCTCGCTTGTCGTTAAACTGTGATTATGGTGAAAAATCTGGTAATGGCTTAATGATATATGAACCCGCCTTGTAACCAGGAGGTCCTGGATTCGAACCCCGGTGGACGTGTACTGTTGAAGAGTCGCAAACTAAGACGGAATAGCTGTCCAGTACTCCTTGCAGGTTTTCCAATGGTTTTATAACCAATGTCAGCTCATGATGAAATCCTGTAATCAATCGACCAAATCCCTACAAACCAACACTTGAATATGGTGAAAAATATTCACGTTCATATTATTACTAATAGTTCAAGAAACGTCTTTAAAACACATTTTAGTTATTGGAAAATACTATGCTGACCAACAGCTTTCCACATGTCTAAATATTCTTACTTCTCTCTATTCAATACTTCATTGGCGGTAAGAACGAAAACCTTCATGGATGCAACTGACACCTGTATAACTTTGTTGAAATTTAATGATATGAATCCTTGTAACTTCAGGCAAGTCATAAAATAAATTCATCACTACTCAGTGTTCTGTTCATTTGTGTGAGCTATGTAAAGTTAGGAGTCCAGTGCTCACAGATTTTCAGTTAAACATTTTCTGTCAGTTATTTAAACAAAATCAATTCCATTACCGAAATTCCTTTCCTCTTGACTATAATATTTCCAAAACAACTGATGCCCACATTATATATATATATATATATATATATATATATATATATATATATATATATATATATATATGTAGAAGACGAACTAGACAATCTCAAGAGAATCCTCGTCGAGAAGTGCCATCCAGAACGATTTATTGCAAAATCCATGAGTCCAAGACCGCAAAAGCCGCCAATGCTAAGCGTCCCGAAAAGACTACTGTGCATGAACCTTCAATTCAATGGAGATTTATCTGCGGAAAAACTGAAAAGTCGACTGTCACGTTCACTTAAGAAAGCCATCTTTGCAGCTGAACTACGACTAACCTTCTCCACAAAACCTATGCTTCGTGCGAACGTGAAGCTACCACTGCTGGGCTCGTCAATGTGTATCCACCAATACACCTTCTCTTGTGGAGCCAGGTATATCGGCCGTACCCAGCGTTCGCTTTCCAAATGTGTCACCGAACACTTACCAACATTGTTTTACAAAGGAGAAAAACGATGCCCCCGCAGCTCTATCTTAGAACATCTGATAGATTTCGGACACCAAGCTGCTCCCCAAACAAACTTCAAAGTCGTCTACAGAGTAAGAAGTAGTCTTCCTAAAGGTGTATGAATCAGACTTCTTCAAACTGCAGAAGCAATGGCGATTCACTTGCTAAGTCCTGAACTCTGCATACACAAGACGTTCGTTCAATCACTACACTTGCAATGGACTTAATCTATTTTAATACCCGTCAGGAAAATTCTACTTAATTTTTTCTCTTCTGTCTCTTCATTAGTATTATTTTGTCTTTACAATTGTAATATTTTACATTTTCAACTTTCCTGTTCTCTACCCCACCCGACTTAATTTCTACACTTCATTACCACTGTTAATGACTTGACCAACGCCCAATTTCTAGTCATTTATGTTACGTCATCTAATTTATTTGCTCAACTTTAATCCTAATTTAAATGGCATGATTCTCTACCCCACTTCTACTTAGTCTCTACCTGTAATCACCTCTGTTGCTATCGTGACCTATGTTGACACATTTTAGTCAATTATATTACGTCATCTAACTTACCAACTCAATCTTACTTTAGTTGCTGTTTAATTAACCTTGTTTCTATATTAGATCATTCTTGTATTACCTGATCAACTATCTAAACTTGACAAACCTCATGTACACACACACAATTAATTATATATAAGTGCGATTGTACAGCTATGTGAATGAATTCGCTGTCGAAAAGACTCTCTTCGCTGAACATCTTCTCTTATATATATATATATATATATATATATATATATATATATATATATATATATATATATATATGAAGCTTGTTAGGAAAGGGGTAACCTAAATTTTAATGCATATTTATATATTTTTACAGGAACTTTAACCGGATATGCTCCTTTGTCTCTAGCTGAGGTGCTACCATCAGATGGGAGTGTATTGGCTTTGGAGACAACTGACGAATACCTAAAGGACTATTGTATTCCAGCATGGAGACAAGCTGGTGTTGAGTCGAAAATTGATTTTCGACATGGTTCAGTTATAGAAATACTGGGTAAGTTAATCTACATTATGAAGATCTTTGGATTTATTTTTTTAAATATTCTTATCGTTTCCTTAAGCTTAATCTGCGTTACTTAATGAACTCTCAGTTAATGATAAAATATGATATGTCAATGTTTCTAAAAGAAAGGTCACAAAAACAGGAATAACACATGTACTAGAATAATCTAAGCTCATTATTTTTATCAAAATGAACAATTATTATCATTATTCTCTTGTGAGCCAAATGGAACATAAGGCTTCAAAAACACACCTCCACTTTGTTCTATTTTCTGTTGTCCTCTTCAGCTGGGTCCAAGATTGACCAAACTCTCTCATCTCTTCCTCACACAATCTCCTCCAGGTCATCCTAGGACGACCCATTCGTCGCTTCCCATTTGGACTCAGCTCGAGCAATAGCCTGGCGTGCGATGTCATTCGACTGCCTTCTCAATGTATGTCCAACCCGTCTCCATTTTCGCCACATATTTTTTGATCAATCGGCTTTTGGTTGGTTTGTCCATCGCCAGAGTTTCTTTTCACTAATTCTTTCTGGCAGGCTGGCCATTGGATCTTCAGTATGGGGCCAGGCAGCGAAGGCGGCTTTTGATAAAAGTCTGCAACCTGTTGAGAATATTGTTCGTGACACACAGTGCAAGTTTCTGTCCCATATAGAAGCAATAACTGGCTTGACATTGGTACTGAAGAGAATTCAAATCTTCTTTATGCTAGCCGAGTGCAGAAGATTTCCAAACTGGTTTCAGATTGATAAAGCCGTATCTTGCCTTTCAGATTCTGACTTTGACATCTTCGTCCGTTCCGCCTGAAGTTGAAACAATACTTCCTAGATCGGTTAAAGAACCAACCTCTGTTAAATCTCTCCCATTGATGGTGATTGATGCTGGTTGTTGTTGTTGCTGCCACTGTTCGTTGGTTATCTTCATTACCTCCATCATATCTATGTTCACCTGCAGTCCTGTTTTCGTCGCCTGCCTCTTCAGCCAGATTTTCGGTTTTCACTTTAAAAGTCCTCGAGTTAGCATGAAATTAGACATATATCATCTGCGATACAAAAAAAATCCGAATTACGAAAAACAAACTTTTTCAAGGTATTGCTGTTATTATTATTATTCCCACGGGCTGTGAGTGGAACACAGAGCTTCAACAGCACATCTCTATTTCATCCTGTAATATGAAGTCCTCTTTATCTGACTTCATATTTGTTCATAAAGTTTTATCTTCTCTCCAAACAATCTCCTATATGTCACTGCTGAACATCCAAGTTGCCGTTTCCCATCCGGAATGCACTCAAAAGCCAGCAGCCAGAAGTTTATCAGCGTGTGTCCAATCCATCTCCCTTTTCTTCGGAATATTTGTTTGGCAGTATTTTGTTGGTTGGTTGGTTGGTTGCCAGAGTGTTTCTTCTTGCTTATTCTATCTAACAATCTGATCTTTACTATAGAGCGAAGGCATTTGTTGATAAACATCTTCAGTAGCCTGTTGGAAGTGCCTTTCGTAACGTTTTAAGTCTCTAAAGCATAGAGGAGCACTGATTTGACGTTAGTGTGTTAGAAATCTCAATCTTTTTTTTCTTTCTTAGTTAACTTGGTGGATAGTGACTAGCAATGGAATCTAGGATGCGCATTTCGTTCTATTTTTTCTGGACTCGTCATCTGGATGTACCTGCTGATAACAGCAGATTTCTACACCGATTTCCGAATAGTGAATGTTTTTATCACTTTTTAATTCTTGCCTTTTTCCGAGGCATGAAATGAAGTAATTGTTAGAGACTATAAGAAGCACAAGGCGTCGGTGGCATAGTGGTTAGGACGCTCGCCGACCATGAACGTGGTCCAGGGTTCGATCCCTGACCGACGCATTCCTTCACCTCGCTTAGCCAGAAGTAATGCTGATAAAGAGGAAAGGGTGGGCATGAGATTAGTGACTCCATCCTGTAAAAACAAACACTGCTACAGAAACTTCAAGCCACTAACTTGAAGCCCTATGTTCCACTGGGGAACGTGAAGGAAATAAAAAAAATAAGAAACATAATTTCGGAATGATGTAAGTTGTTAAATTAAAAAAAGAGTCGAAAAGATTGACTATTTACAGGATAATTAGACGAATATTGTCGAAAAAAGATGCAATTCAAACTTGTGGGTAGAAACAAAGTTTATTGGAAAATAGTGTGTACAATAAGAAGTTAAGGCACTCAGGTATAACTGCACCTCTCCTCTTACAGTTCATAAACTCTTGCATCCTACCTATTCTTCTTTATTGTTCACCCTTGCTTATTGTTTCCTGGTTTGCTTAAAAAGGATTATGTCACAATTCGTAGAATGCTGAAGACGGTCGGTAGGATGAGTGGTATCCCAGTGAACTACATAGTTAACGTCGTTGTTGAAAGGCACTTGACTTCGTGCAATAAATTTTCTAAAGGGATTTTGTCTGACTTGGAGCATCCACTTTACCCTCAGCTTTCACCTTGCATCTCCTCAGGTAGAACAAGAAGAAGTAACTTCAGAAAACTGTATGCGCGTGCGTCTAAGTATAAAAATTCTATGATACCATACTTGGCACGTATTTTATGTTATGAAAATAGTGTCAGGGAAGAATTAACTAACCTTTTTTCATCTAGTAAATAAACAATTTCCTCCATCCATCCTTATATACCTTCAAGCTTTACTTTTATTATTTCTATTATATTTATGGTCCTGTTACTTCTCTGTTTTACTCTCATAATTGCAAACACCAACTTATCTCTATAACTTCTGTATATTTCGTTTTTCCCCTCACCATATCATGTAAAGAGAAGATTATATTCAATATTTTTAAACATGTTAGGATTTCTAAGCCGCATCGACAATACTGTGTGAAACAAACCCCACGGCAATTTTCGTTTGCATTATTATTATTACCTTAGCTGTTATCGTTATTATTGTTTCATTCCATATGCTGCATATTTTTGACAGTACCCCTATTGTAAATGTGGAAAATTTTCTGTGTGATTAATTTTATTTATAATTTGAGGATATTAAATGCAATATTGTGATTAATGCTGAAAATTCCATTCTGCATCACAAGTACTGTTTTTGGAATAAAGTAAATTATTATTATTATTAATAAAATAAGTTACTTAGCCACAGAAAATATGTATTTACAAGACAGCAAAAAAAGGAGTCAAGTGAGTGATATTCATATGGAACAACAAAATTCTCGAAACAGGAGAGAGAGAGAGAGTATAAGAGAGTACATGACAGTAAAAATTTTAAAACCTTGTAATGTAGGTTAAATCAATTAGGTTCTATAAGATTCACCACTGTCTCTTTCTGAATACATAGGTTTTGTTTACACAGTTTGTTGGGGATAGCCTCAACAAAACGTAGCAAGTTTGATTTCTCTTGCCTGTTACTAATTTTGAACGCCTTTAGAATGTCCACAGTATGACCAGTATCCACTAGATGGTGTGAAGTTGTACTGTTTAATGCTTGTGAGCACCTTAGTCTCGGATACTTTGGTTTATGTTTAGAAATGCGGACTACAACCCTTCCTTCTGTCTTTCCAATAAATGTACTTTGGCAAGTGCATGTAAACTGATACTTCTGTGAACGGGAGTTCCTCGAAGACAGTTTAAACGTATTTTAAGACGATTTTGTCTATCAAATCAAACTTTTCCGAACTAATATAAGTATAAAACTTAGGCATTGTGGCAGAGTATAACTCCATTGTAGATAAGATTTTATTTTGATAAATCACACAGTGTTTGTTATACAGTAATATTAACTGATAACCACGTTTCGAGCACAAGAGATTGTACACCCAACACATATAACAGAAATGACTCAAAGCAAATACCAGATATACGGAAGACATTATGATCACCAGTAAGTCAAATCAGAGGAGGATAATAAATAGTCTTAAAATTCGATTTCAATTTACATACATTATATCATTCTAACAAGTTACTTAATTATGACCATAAAAACACTCGTCTTATTTCCCATCTGATTGCATTTGATCAATAACTTTCGTGTTATTATTATTTCTGAAAGTACATTATCTTATATTGATTTTAATTCAAATATCTAATCATCAATTCCACTCATGTATATAAATGAGGCAAGAAAGTTGTGTGAGTGAGTGACTTGATATGATTATTAACAGCAATAGTTTGTGCTCGAAATGTGGTCATCAGTTAATATTACTATATAACAACACTATGAAATATCAAAATAAAATCTTATCTATAATGGAGGTTTTCGAACTAACTATTTCACAACAATGTGCAATATTAAAATCCAAAAGCTGTTTCAAGACAAAATGATTTACCTGCTAGTTAATGTACAATCAAGAAATAATAATGTTCTCCAAAAAACACCATGATTTTACCACGTCTAGAAATAAAAATCCTGCGTTTCATTTTGAAACGAATATTATTATTATTATTACTATTATTGTTGTATCCTTTAGTTCCTAGAGGAACATAGGGCTTCAGCTGCGCACCTCCATTGACTTCGGTTTCCTGACAACTTTTTCAACCTGCTCCAGGTCTGTCCCCATGCTTTCATCTCCTCCTCGCATGACCTCCTCCAAGTCACCCTTGGACGACCAACTCGCCGCCTCCCTTTCGGGTTCCAATCGAGGGCTTGTCTAGTGATGTCACTTGATGGTTTCCTCAGCGTATGGCCAATCCATCTCCATTTCTTTCTGCCTATTTGTTTCACAATCGGTTCCTGATTGGTTCGCTCCCAGAGATCCCTGTTGCTGATCTTTTCTGGCCATCTGATCTTGAGTATTGAGCGGAGACAGTTGTTAATGAAGGTTTGAAGTTTGTTTGAGATGCTCTTTATGACTCGCCAAGTCTCTGATCCGTATAGTAGCACTGACTTCACATTGGGTTCCCTTGGGTTCTGAGCGGAATACAGGGCTTCAATAACACATCTTTACTTTGACCTATTCTCAGCCGTCCTCTTCATCTGAGCCCACGACTGACTATAATCTCTCATCTCCTCCTACTCAATCACACGTTCTCCTCCACGTCAACCTCGGGCTACCCATTCGTCGCTTTCCACTCAGGTTCCACTAGAGCAATGGCCTGGTGCGCGATGTCTTTCAATGACCTCCTCAACATATACCCAATACATCTGCATTTTCTCCTATAAATTTGTTGATCGACAGTGTTTTGGTTAGTTTCGTATCATAGTTTCTTGTTGCTAATCCCTTCTGGAGATTTGATCTTCAATATAGAATGAAGGCACTTGTTGGTGAAAGTCTGCAACCAGGTGTTGGAAATGCTTTTCGTGATATGCAGTGCAAGTTTTTGACCCATATAGAAGAAATGACTGACTTAACAGTGGTTTTGAAAATCCAAATTTCATTCTTTGTTTTGAGTGCATCGTATTACCAAACTGCATTTCTTATTGATGGTGTATCCTGCCTTTTTGATTCTGGCTTTTACGTCTTCATCCATTACTCCTATGTTTAAAACCGTGCTTCGCAGGTAACTGAAGGCAGTAAGTTCTTTCAAATTTTCAAGTATTGGTTTTGTAGAGATTTTGTTTGATTGCATGGAGGATTTAATCATGAACTGACATCAGTTAGAGAACCACTGGAAAACCTGGGAGTACTGAATCGGGTCCCAGTGGCTCAATGGTCTACGAGCTCGCCTTGCAACCAGAAGGTCCTGGGTTCGAATCCCGGTGGGTGCGAACTGCTGAAGAGTCCCAAACTAGGATGAAACAGCTGTCCAGTACTCCCAGGTTTTCCAGTGGTTCTCTAACTGATGTCAGCTCATGATTAAATCCTCCATGCAATCAAACAAAATCCCTACAAAACCAATACTTGAAAATCAATCTGATGCTCACTAGTGACTAGCCCTATTCAAGCAGTTAACCTGGGGTTCTAGTGGGAAGCCGTGACCAGTAGCGTACAGCAGGTTGAAGATGAGGCAGTAACTCATCGAAGAAGACATTGCGAATTGGTCGCGCTATGTCGTGAACTGGCAGAAGTTAGAATTCAAGGACCATTGGATCGGGTCCCAGTGGCTCAATGGTCTACGAGCTCGCCTTGTAACCAGAAGGTCCTGGGTTCGAATCCCGGTGGGTGCGAACTGATGAAGAGTCCCAAACTAGGATGAAACAGCTGTCCAGTATTCCCAGGTTTTCCAGTGGTTCTCTAACTGATGTCAGCTCCTGATTAAATCTTCCAAATTTCTCCCGATGATAGTGACTGGTGATCGTTGTCGTTGTTATTGATCGGTTATCCTCATCACCTCCATCTTCTCTGTGTTCACCTGCAGTCATGTTTTCGCTGCCAGTCTTCTGGTTTTCTTTTGGAAGTCTTCAAGTTTGTGTGACATTAGACATATATCATCTGCAAAATCCAGATCTTCTAGAGTCTTCTTATTGGTCGTCCAGCGTATTCCTGACCCCTCGCCCCAAAAAGTCTACGTCGGTGACACAGCGTTTAGGACTCTTGCCGACCATGCACATGATCCGGGGTTCTGCCCTCTCCCGACGCACACCTGATATCTATGGTCGGCCTGATAAATTTGTGCTACCGATATCATATGCTGAAAATTCCCTACTTGTACCAAAAATACGGTGGGGAATCAAGCTATAATCGAAATAATCCAGTCCACCACAATTAAGAATATCATCGGTGATAATGCGCAGTCAGCTTGTCTTACTCCTATATTTACTTCGAACGTCTCGCTGAGTTTTCCGCTGTGGGTCACCTGACACATGGTATTGTCATATTGCTAGCTGTTGAATAAGGTTGATAAATATTCGGGGCACTTCACTGTATAGCACTGATGTATTTTCTAAATTACTTTATGGTCAACGCTACCAAAGGCCTTTTCGAGGTCGATTAAGTTGACGTAGATGTTTGACTGATATTCCATACTTCGTTTGATGATGATGCAAAGAGTTGCGATTCGATTAGCACATCATTTGACTTTCCTGAATCCGGCTTGTTCTGGCGGACGGAGTTCAGCATACAGTGCATCTTTTCTCTCCAGGATGACGTGACTTAGTATTTTACCTGTCGTGGACAACAGCATGATTTCAGCATATCACTTCTTTCAGAGGCATAAGCCAGTCTTCTTTGGTGGCTTCACAAGGTAGCCTTTCTTCCAGTCAGTAGGCATGACTAATAAACTGATAATGGAACTAAATTCAGGCCTTCTCAATGACTTTAAAACAACTTTCAAAATTTGGACACTGTGTTAGGGGCATAACTGTGCCACAGAATGATTTTATTTGATAAAAAAAAACACAACGATACAGTATTTTTTATTAACTGATGACGTTTCAAAGTCAATATATCGCTCACAGTCATATCAAGCTGCTCACTCAAACAACTGTCACACTTTGTTCATATAATTTCAGTTTTTATTATCCTTTGATAGTATTGTGATAGTAATATTTTCCATATTTCTGGTATCGGCGTTGTGGTATTGCTATTAACTGTGTTAGACTGTAAAATCACAAACAAAAGAACTTGAAATATGCACTTGTATTTATAAAAAGCTAACGAACTCTCATAGATATTAAGAATTTAGATCACCTGATCGGTTATCTGTAAAGGCAGGCTAAGTCAAGTATCTAACAAACAGAATGGAAACTCTAACTGTTACTTTTCTATAGTTGGTTTTTTTTGTTTTTTTACTTCACGTTCCCCAGTGGAACATAGGGCTTCAAGCTAGCGGCTTGAAGTTTCTGCAGCAGTGTTTATTTCACAGGATGGGGTTGCTAGCCTCATGCCCAACCTCTCCTATTTACCAGCATTATTTCTGGTTTAGCGAGGTAAAGGAGGGCTTCGTCGGCCAGGGATCGAACCCTGGACCATGTTCATGGTCGGCGACCATCCTAACCGCTATGCCACCGACGCACTAGTTGGTTTGTAAGGATTAGACTTGTTTCTACGAGTTTATCACATACTGATATCAGTTAGAAAGCCATTGAAAATCAGCAGGGAGTACTGGACAGCCAGCCGTTTCATTCTAATTTGGGAATCATTGGCAGTAAGCACCCACTGCCAGGGTTTTAACCCAGAACTTCCTGGTTACAAGGCAAACTTGCATACCATTGAATCGGGTCCCAGTGGCTAAAATGATTTACGAGTTTGCCTTGTAACTGGGAGGTCCTGGATACGAACCCTGGCAGTTGGCGCGTCCTGCCGATGATTCCCAAATAGCTGGCTGTCCAGTACTCCCTGACTGGTATTCAATGGTTCTTTAACTATTAAGTCAGAAAACCTTTATTAAGAAAATGAAAAAGATAGAAGAAACTAAAAAGCCATACTACAAAACTCATTTGGATCACCAAAGAAGACCTTATTAAGAGAATAATTGCAGTAAGACAATTAGCCACCTTCAAGCAATTCTTTCTGGGTATGGTGTGGTCTTCAAGAATTCTCAGATACAAATCTCGATCGGTGAGTTTTATTAAAACGGCTACTAGTCTGGGATCAAATCCTAAACATCTTACTTTTCTTTCTATATGTCTCATTAAATAGGAGGAAGTCAAAATTTTACATTGTCTAAAAACAATCAGCCATCGTAGTCAGTCCATTGTTTGTATTTTTTTTTACTTCATTTCAGAAAATTTGATTGCGAATGGAGAAAGTGAAACATTTGATTTTGCACTTATCGACGGTGAAAAAAATGAATACGTTCAACACTATGAACTATGCCTGAAGCTGATTCAACCACGTGGTATTATCGCTATTGACAATGTAAGTTAATATATATGTATTCCGATTGAAGATATAAACTAAGGATAAAAGTTATCGCAAAGTGTTCCCGAAGTATAGCATAGCTAACTCTACAACACCACACATATTGTAGCTGTGTAGAACAAGTTGACGAAACACAAAGTGAGTTGTTGCAAGACAAACTCACCACGCTTTCATTTGAATATATATGAATGGATAGCTTGGGGTTGGAGGTCACTTACGGTTTGAATTTTCTAAAGTAGTTGATGTTTATGCTGTATACTTCATGGAACACTTTGATCGTATCATATGTTAGGTTTGACTGTTGTGAAAGTGTTTTGTCAACTCGTTTTACACACCTGGAATCTGTATCTTGCAGTTCTCTGTGGTAGGTACAAAAACACTGAGCGATGGTGTTTATCCTGACCCACATATTTCTATGTAATTTATTCGAATTTTAATAAATAATCCATTGGCTCCATCGTCATTACCCCATTTTTTGTAATCCCTCACATTCCCAGTGGAACACATAGGGCTTCAAGCTAGAGACTTGAAGTTTCGGTAGCAGTGGCGTTTATTCTTACGAGATAGGGTTGCTTACCTTATGCACAACTTTCCCTCTTTACAAGTCTTATTGTTGGCTTAGCGAAGTAAAGAAGTGCACCTGTGATCGGGGATCGAACCCGAAACCACCACCACTGTGCCACCAACTCATTTGAACAGAGGAGTTAAATGTAATTCCCTACACCACTAGCGGTCAGTAAGTACATTAACCTATGCACTAGATCCCAATAAATCACTTGTTATACAAATGACAGAGAGTTAATTCCATTATGGGTAAATTTTTGTTTTGATAGAGTCTCATAGTGTTATACAGTAATGTTTACTGATGACGTTTCGAGCACAATTTATTGCTCATAATCATATCAAGGTATTCACACGACTTCCTAAATTCATTTATATAGTTCCATTATTTTTCATTTGATTTTCACTTCATTTGATTGGCAGTAGTATTTTCCATATTTCAGGTATGAGTGATGACTCATTCCTATTGCATGTGTTTGGTGTCGACTCGATGAACAAGGATTCAGTAATCAACCTCTCTCTCTCCACCTATCTAGATTACTTTTTACAATTTTAACCCTCTCCCACCCTATTGTGTGGTTGTGTGTTAATGCATGCATTGCAATTGCTGAGCTTTTTTCTAAATTACTTATCTTTTCAGGGTCAACCATTCTTAGCTTAGCTAAATTCTTATGTTCCGACAATCTGACTACCCCTGACCTACTAGTTTGACCTATGTAGTTGACCTAACTCACAGTCATTGCCTGTTATTTTGTAAATTATATTATTTTGTCTCATTGGGTCAACCTACAGGGTCCCTTAACCTACAGAGCTTGTCTCTGAGTGAGTTTGTAGGTTTAAATGCCACCCTAATTCCTGCTTTATTTAGAATCCTACGTAGGGTCTCAGATGTCCCCTCCTTATATGGTATAACTTTAGATGACTTATATTCTCTCTTATTTATGTTATTATTAATAGTTTCACAATTATTTTTATTTTTCGTTTGGCCTTTTCTGATCTTTCTAATGAACTTTAAAGGATAGTTATTTAACACCAAAGCCTCTTCTATCTGTTTTAGTTCATCATTCAGGTCTTTTCTTGTGCTACTTAGTGCTACTGCTTGGTTTGTTAATACTTAACTAAGCCTGCCTTAACAGTCAGCGGATGAGATGACGAATTAAAGTATCTATTAGAATGAGTTGGTTTTCTGTACACACTAGTGTGCAGTTTACCTTCTTCTATTCGTTTTATTTTACAATCTAACATAGCTAATTCTCCTTGTTCATTTTCCGATTCAAATGTGAATTTTATTCCCTCCACTGGTGAGTTTATGTGTGTCAAGAAGCTAGAGATATGTTCTATTTTTAACACCGTGAAAGTGTCATCCACATATCTCCACCATATTTTTGGAGCAGGATTAAGTGTATTAAGAGCCATATTTTCCCAGCTGGCCATAAATATGTCTGCTACAATAGAAGATATTGGTGATCCCATTGCTACACCTTCTGTTTGTCTATATATTTTACCTTGGAATTTAAAGATAGTAGATGTGAGGCATAGCTGAATCCCTAAAATAATTTGTTCAATGGGCAGCTTTATCCTATGATTGAGTTCAGGATCCGCAGTTAGTTCTTTTTTAACTGCTTCTAAAGCCATATTGACTGGTATATTAGTATAAAGACTAGTTATATCACACTGTGAGACTTTATCAAAACAAAAATTTACCCATAATGGAATTATACTCTACCACAGTGCACAAGTTTTATTCTTATATCAATGACAGAGAGTTAGTGTTCGTGTTATATTTATATTTCCCTTAACAGAGCAGTACAATAAATTCAACAGTTACTTACCCTCTCTGAGTAGGAAGAGAAATCTTATCCGTTCTATATGCACCAGAATTTGGTAAATTTCCTCTATAGATACGGTAGACATAGAAGTAGAAGACCTTTGAGCAACTTTCTTAAGTAATGGATATCCTAGTAAGTTTATTTAAAGAAACATCAAGAAAGAAACCGTCCCTAGTCGCTGGCACAGCGGTTAGTACTCTCGCCAACCATGCATATGGTCCGGGGTTCAATCCTCTGCCGACGCACATCTGATATTAATGGTCGGCCTGAAAAACTCGGGCTACCCCGATATCACATGCTGAAAATTCCCTGCTCGTACCAAAAATACTGTGTGGTTTCAAGCCATAATAAAAAAAACAGCGGCAAACAAGACGCTGTGTCTATGATTTCAGTGTCAAAAGGTGACACTACTACATAAGGGATTAAAAGTCGTTTATCGAAATGTGCCTAACGCTCCTCTTTTGTAACTGTCATACATTCAATATTCACCAGCCAAAATGTCATTCGAAAATCCGTCAGGGATAAACTACTGCTGCTTATGTCCACCTCTTTATATATATATATATATATATATATATATATATATATATATATATATATATATATACTGATTCACATGCTCGTGTGTGTGAGCTGATTACATTGGACATTGTAAGCGTGTTCTCTGAAAACACGTAAATAAACACTACCCAGTTTATTTGATGAAATGAGAGCATAGAATGAACGATGAAGCCTTGAAATTATGAACACCTTTTTGAGTCAGATCATTCAGTCCCACTTGATAAAATTCTTTAAATTTATTATTTACAGGACCGAATTCAATAACTCCAAAAGCTTACGTCTTCTCCATTTATTCATAGCTTAAGGTCTAGGTAAACATGGACAACAATCTAAATTATGTGCTCAAAAACGTTTTGTTAAATCCCCTTCTTTACTATAGTTATATTTGTCAGGCGCTGAAAATGTGCATTGGTTTCTAAAGTATAACGTTTTAGAAATTTTATAATCATTATGAAAAAAAAAATCGGGTATATAACATAAAACAGACTTTCTTGACATTCAGATGCACAAAACCTACTTTAACCCCGTCGAAAATATGCAGTTGCCGATTTAGTACAGCCTTTTCAAAAGTCTGAATAGAATCTGATTTCGAAGTGATGATAGAATTTTAGTCACTGTGATAGAATACAACTCCATATTAGATAAGTATACCTGATACACTACACAGTGATACAGTATTAACAACTGAATGACGCTTAGAGCGTATCAAGGGATTCTTCATCTAGTATCGAAACTTGGTTACAATAGTTCCATTATTGAGCCAAGGAAAATGATAAGCCAAGTGGAAAAGTCAGTAATCACAGTGCGTGCAATAAAATACAATCACACGATAGGGTGAGACAGAGCTACAGTTATAAAAAAGTAATGAAGTTAAGTGAAGAGAGAGAGAGAGACTTTAATCACCGAATTCTGGCAAATCAAATCAATAACAAAAAGCTGCAAACTATACGAAAAACCCCAGTGACAAACAGAAGGGGTGTAAGCCTACATAAAGCAAGTTCGGTGGTCGTGTGAGTGCACTAATGTGATTATAAGCAGCAATAAATTGTCCTCGAAACCTCGTATATAGTTGTTGATATTGTATCACTTAGTGTTAAATCAAATAAATACATGTCAAGTATTGGTTTTGTAAGGATTTCAACATGAGCTGACATCGGATAAAGAACCACTGGAAAACCTGCAGGGATTACTGGACAGCTGTTTCGTCCTAATTTGGGACTCTTCATCAGTACACACCCACCAGGGTTTGAAACTAAAACCTTCTGGTTACAAGGCGAGCTCGTAAATCATTCAGCCACTGGGACCCGATCCAATGGCTCATGAATTCTAACTCCTACCAATTCGTGATTCAGCGCGACCCTAACTAATGTCATCAGCGGGACATCCATCCTGGATGTGTAACAACGGAAAACAAGAGCCAGGCGACAGATCGCTTATTTAGGAAATCAATACATATTTATATATTTTAATGTATATTATTATAGATTATTGTAAGCAAACAAACACAGTCTTCTGATTGGTGGTTTCTCGCTGAACGCTAATCTTTCATCTCTTTGTGGCCGTTTCTTGAAGTTCAGATTATCCATCTGCATATTGTATCTGCCTAGGCAAAGTCTGCTGTGATTGGATGTTGAGTCAGTCTTGTTCTTATTTTTCTCATGACCAATATCGGGCACATACACAACAACATAAATTATCATCTACAAATTTAGGCTAGCAGCCAGCCCACATTGCAGATGGACCTCACTGGTCACGACTTCTCACTAGAACTCCAGCAACCTCCATGCTGCAGCATAACACTTCCGAGCATCAGATTAATTTTATAAAGTTGGTTTGTAAGGGTTAGTTTGGCTTTTACGAGGTGATGCCGGATTGACATCACATACAGAACCATTGAAAACCAGGGAGTACTGGACTGATATTTCATAGGAATCGGGGCAAACTTCACCTCGAACACATTGGCAGTCTCCTAGACGGGCTTGGTCTGCTCAAGATCCTGCTGTGTTAGAAAAAAGTGAGCCATATACCACATGTAATAATTTCTGTTAATGCCAATTCGTGTAATGGAGGCGGTCAAGGGACATGTTGCACTCACGCAGCCTAATGACAGTTGTCATCTAAAGTGATGACAACTAGCAGTGTCCGTCAAGCATGTCAACTGTCCCTATTTCATCACCGATGTACTAACGGGATTGACCCCGACTGACTTTAGCGACTTAGGAATTGACTTGTTACCAAGGGACAGTCTTGTTGGGCTAAAGTGTGCAGAAAATGTCCTCCTAGATGAAGAGTCTGACAAAATCCAATTATGTGAACACCTTGAGGAGAAATCTTCGAATGTTTAACATGTGTTCTGAGTTGATGCTGTTGCAGGACTGCACCAGCTTTTAGCTTAAAAACACGGAGCAAAGCGGTTCAGCATGTCGACTACTTCAATTTAGGACGTTGCATTAGCCCTAATGGACTAATTGCTGACGAAATCCTCAGTGTGGATAAAGAAGATTCGTGTGGCAGTTGCTAATTTACTCCATCCCTGAAGTGGATGTGATTTCAGACTAGGTCTTAATCAGTACTGTGCCTATCTTGCAAGTACTGAGGAACGAGTGAAAAGCAGAAATAAAAAGGATTCACAACGTGCCTGTAACCACAAGTATATTTATAATGAATGTGATTAGAATTTAATAATATAAAAAAAGGTTTACAACTTATCTGTACCCAGCGAAGTAGCGAGATCGAAGAATGTGCTTGTAGAAGAGCACAGCGAGGGAGGAAGCGTGCAAGCGCTAAAACGTACAGGAAATGAAGTGGTGTAGCCCCAATATATGGAGTACATATTAGAACAAAAACTGAAAAGATTGAAGGTGCACTACACGTTATGCCCCCCCCCCCGCTCAGAAGGTTGGTGGAAAACCGGCAACCTTCGATCCAAGAACATAAGGGGTATGTAGCAGTAGATTCGCACAATAAAAGAAAGGAAAAGAAGTGAAGAAAAACAAATTGAGAACGAAACTAAAAGAAAGGTTAAGGGGAAGGATGAATAATATTCTACATGATGTATGAAGTAAATCTGAATATGAAAGAAAAGACGCTGGCCATCTTAGTGTGGTTTTAAATTATTAATTTTTTTAATAATTGTTTTTTTTTGTTACTACATTTTTACACATTTCGAACTTTGTATAAGTAGGTAGCTACGGATCACACACACTGATTGTGCATGGGGCTGATGATATCACCCCTGTGCTCAGGCTGAGATACGAGTGTGATTCATTAGGTCTAAGTTGCGTCTTAAACCAATGCTTCCCTCTTCCGCTTCATCAGCGAGTATCAATCAACACTAAGGATAATAAATATACCAGCGTAGTAGAGGGACAAAGTGAAAGAAAAGAAAAGTGGAAAGTGATGTAGAGATTCGCAAAGTCGTTTTTTAAGAAAAAGAATATATATATATATCACAAAAGCTAGGGTCTAGGAAGCGGACAAATATGGGATAAACATCAAAGCTATTCCATGTTGAATTAAAATAAATGCAGGTTTCGACAACACGGTAATGAATCCAAGTTACACGGCAAGTGTTAAAGGAAAAATAGCTGAGAGAGAATAGGCATTTACATTTAGTTAAAAGAAAACGGCGAGTCGAAGAAACAACTTGGTGAAAAATGTTTACAGTCAAAGCTTGCAAAAAAGAATTTAACCAGACTAGAGTGAAAAATTGCCACAGTAATGAGCAAGAAAAGTCTGACAGTTTAGATTGAGTAAATTAACAATTACAAAATAGAAACTATACGATTACATAGAAAAGGTAAGCAAGAAGTTAACGCAAGTTATACCGGACAGTGAATAGTTTCGCGTTTGAGTTACTTTACACTGAATTCTTTATCTTTTTTCTTCTTATTATTATCATTTATTTTTGTGTATTCTTTATCTATTTTATTATTCTATTTTTTTTGTCTCTTTTTGGTCTATTTTTTTTGTTTGGTTCGCAATTCCACAAGTTTTGGGAGCCATTATACGACATTAAAGTTGACTGGTATAGCTAGCGTTTCGAGTGCAACGCCAATAATAGAATGTTAGAACAATCTGTTAGGAGAAAGAAATCTAACAGGGTTAGTAACTGGAAAAGTGGTTAATGCCACAAACGAGACCAAAAAGGGTAAATACCATGAAGAGTGAATGTAACCTGCGAAAAGACATGAGGGTATGAAATATTCTTGCATGTAAAACCGTTTAGTTAACAAATTTAGAGTATCGCTTAGGCCAGTGCACATGCCGATCGGTGCGTGTAACCGGTGCTTCACTTGTTATATCCGGAGAACTACTAGGTTTAGTAGCATGTTTAATAACGGAACCTGGCTGGAATGTGGGTGCAGAGGTAGTTGCTGGTTGTGTAGGCATGGAGGGTAAGGAGTCTTCAGTGTAGGCCGCCTTAAGCCTGTCGACACTTACGGTGTCTTGACGGCCAAATCGATCAATAACAACGAACTTTCCCTTCCTGCTAATGGCCTTGAATGGTTCATCATAAGGAGACTGTAACGGCCTACGGACGGCGTCGCAGCGCACAAAAATGTGTGTGCAGTCATCGAGCCTAGCATCTACTTGCACTCTCTTGCTTTGTGTGCGTGTGGGAGTTGGTTGTAGGCGCTGCATAAGGCGCTTGAGGTTCTGAGCATAACAATGTACATCCGTAACACATGGCTTATCACTTTCAGATGAGATAAATTCACCCAGTAAACTGTCAGGTTGCCGAATATGCATAATACAACTATGTGGGATAGGTTTATTTTGTTTACCAAACATTTCCCACTGGAGTTCTCATTCCCAACTGCTATCAGTGTTTCTTGTTTTATGCATCATGCACAACACAATAGTTAATGTCTGCGAACTGATTGTGGTGTTAACAGTACTCTCTCCTGTAGTGGGCAATTGTCTCCTCCTAGATTAGTTCTTCTCGATAGTAGGCATCTACTGGGTTATTAATCCAGGACCTTCCTGGATAGAAGCCTAGATCATGCACAATTCAGTCACTGGGACCTGACTCAATGGCCAAAGCATGAACCCTAACTTCCATCAACTGGTGATTTTAGAGAGACCATCAGCCAGTGTCGTCGCTGGCAAGTATTTGTCCTCACTGCCGACGGCGCCGATCACATTGGTCCTGACTTCTCACTGTAACTTAAAGCAACTTCGTGCTGCGTTGTCACTAGCGAGCATCAGATCAGATTTTAAGAGTTTGTCTGCAGGGAACTGGTTTCTTTCAAGTGCAATTACGGATGGCCATCCTGGTTTCAAAATCTAGTAGGTGCATACTGAAGGTGAGTCTTATTCTAGGACGAAATGTCTGTCCAGTACTCCATGATAGTCTAATGGTACCCTAACTGATCTCAATCTGTGATCAAACTTGAATTAAATCAAATCCGTACAAACAAACTTTTGGAAACTGTTTTCACTGACGTTTGACTATGTAATGCTAATAGCTTCATTGCAGTTGTAATATTTAACCAGAGTCTACAAAATCTTAGCTTTTATGCAGCAACTTAATCACAGTTATTGAGTATGAGGCAATATTTACATCGCTGTATCTGTCAATCGGTGAAGATAACACAACACGTACAGATATCTTTATTCGAAAACTGCATGAAATTATGAAAAAATGCATGTGTTTACATAATGGCATCGTTTATCATATTTGTGTGGATGTGTGTGTGTGTGAAAAACTTGGTCACTGGGGTAATATCCGACTCCATACTGATTTGTGTTGATTTTTTCACTCCATGGCTGGAGGGGGGGGAGGCGATAGGTGGGTGTTTGCAAGCAGGTTAAATTCTGAATTCATCCTTCCTTCCTTCCTTCCTTTTAAAACAATCTGAATTCCATTCAATATGAAGGGCTTCTGATATGAGAGGTTCTTTGTGATTTCTGAAATATTTCTGAGTGATTTCAATAGTGTCAAAATCAGTTTTGTAGTCTGATTCTATAGCATGCAGACTTATGATTGATGATTTTTCAGGCTTTTATCACTCCATCGGATTTCTCAGTAATCAAATAGATGCAAATTCCGGTTTCAGATCTCAAAAGGGGCATGATCCAGTCAAAGAGTGCACCTGGGCGATGCGGGCAAAACGTGGGCTAAATGAGTAGTTTTGATGGGCAAATAGGTGGGCAAAAGTTGGTGTAACTGCTATACAATTTGCCCACTTTACCTATATTAGCCACTTTTTTCCCGTTTGCCCATGTTACAACCGAAAACAGCCCACCTTTTTCCACTTTTCCTAAATTTAAACGGAAAACTGCCCACGTTTTTACCGACATATCCCAGGTACCCCAAAAACATTCACCGACTGGGGAGTTCCTTCAAGGTTGCAGATACGCCTTGCTTACTGGTGAGTGCTAAAAAGCACTAAACCCAGGTCCAGGGCTTCTTGCCGATTGTCTCCAACCGTCTAATACCACCAGTTAACAGTGCACCATGACAGCGAGCTACCTAGTGGCATGGTGGCCATTTGACTGATAAAATTCAGCCTGCACCAAGGATAGAACTAGACTTACACATTGCACTAGTTACTGACTAGTGTCCAATCAAAAATACCTAGTGCGGTTCTACAGGGGGACAATCGCGAACTTGAATAGCTCTGTGGTTACGTCTCAGACTGCAGCACTGACGCCGGTTCGAATATTAGAAGGGATATGAGTTCCTTCCAGGTTGCAGATACGTCTTGCTGATGAGTGCCAACAAGCAATAAAAAATAGGTCCAAGTCTTCCTACTGATTGTCTCCGACCATCTACTGCCAACGGATTCCGGTTTAACATAACCACTCTGACCAAATTGATATAAGAATAAAACTTGTACACTTTGGTAGAGTATAATTCCACCCATAATGGAATTACACTCTGACAAAGCTATTAGCAGTAAATATCAAAATGACAGTAGAAATAATACCGTTTCGTGTCTTAATTTATAGCAAAATACAAAAAGCTTTTATAATAATGAACATTTTGATCCTTGATTTCAACTTTTTGAATTTCTATTCCCTTATTTCCTTACCAAGGTTATTTGGTCAGAACTTGTAATTGACGAAAGTGATCAAACTGATTTAACTATCGGTATCAGGCAGCTAAATGATCTGATAGCAAAGGATGATCGAGTAAAAATATCCCTCTTAAATATTGGTGACGGATTGACTGTCGTTGTGAAAAACTGATATATTATTCATCATAGAAATATTGAATCACTGTTATTTAGATGAATTCAATATTGTATCAGATACACTGTGCCTATATTGTACATTGTACACTGTAGATTTCTAATGCTTATCCGTAGGTTAGATCCAGTAGATTGAGTTTAGAATTAGATTTTTCTTCGTTTTTATTACTTGAGATTGTGTTTTTATTGTCATTATGTAATGTCTTTCTCTAATTAAAAGCACATCAGTGGAAAAACCAAACACATTTTTGTCAGTCTACGATTTTTACGTAAAATAGACTGAAAATAGAAAAAGATTGCATTTTCATTGTTATTAGAAAACTGCATTCTAACGTGATATCGAATTATATATATATATATATATATATGATTCTCTTCATCAATACATTGTTTGTGAGTTCAGTGATCTAGATCAAACTAGCAGATCGGGATCAATTCAATTACCGGAACAGTAAAACAAATTTAGCTAGACATAAAATCACTCACTCCAGCTAGTTGAATAACCTAGAAAACAACTCGGCCATTGCAATGCATTCACTAGCATTTAATCACACTCTATGGTGAGACGCAGGTGAAGTTCTAAAGAGCAATAAAGTCAGGTGAAGACAGATAGAGACAGGTTGAGTTTAGTCGCCAACTCATTCTACATAGAATTAACACCAAATATTGGATGAATCGAAATGTCATAACGCCTATATCATAAATATGGAAAACTTTAGCGTAAAACAGAAGGGAATAGGGCTACTTGAAGCAAGGTCGGTGGTTATGTGAATACATGGTTTAGAGGCTGACGGTATTGATATTCGCGGATTGTATGGAGTATACTAACGCAAGATCTAATACCTACAACTTATATAGTATTCGTTCCGTATAAACCAAACGCAAAGCAAAAGACTACAATTGATCTTCCAAATTACGAGATATATTTCGGGACCAAGTTGGAGTGCGAAATGATTGCTTGCGTTATATTTGCGTCTGAACTCTTTTATACCGTAAACAAGCTATTTACACACATTATCTGCTAGAAACTTTTGAATTTTCACATTCTACACATAGAAATACACTAGAGATACATTTACACCTTGGAATTATTGTATAAACTCTGTTTTCACTGACCCTGCCCTCTGCAGGTTTTGGATGTATATTTTATGGGATGTATCAGGCTCAATTCGGTGAGTTTGTGCAATTCGTCGAAGTTTTACGTCGGATATTATCTATTTGATGCTATAGCTGTAGTTATTTACCGGTTATTCTGTTGTTGTTTTTTTTCGACGAACTCTACCCTTGACTCAAGTTGCCCCTTTTTAAGCATTTTTATTATTCCAACAGGACTGTTATCAGTTAATAGATGTCGCTTTTGTTCATAATAGTTTATTTTCATTGACTTAGTGTTGGTTAAAGGGAAAATTTGAAGTTTTAATCTCCAGTCGTCTCAACTGTTTGATAGTCCGAACCTATCTTAATCCCTGACATTCGGAATTTTACTTCTTCGTTAGTTTCATCTGTACTACAAGTACTTTCTCCATTAATTTTAGCACGGTGTTACCAGTCCCCAAACCCGTCCTTTTCATTTACTTTTCACCAAGGAATTATCTCAACTCACGATTTTTGCTTGTTAACTTCCAGGATCTGACTGGAAAACAGTTAATTCCCACTATTTTCACTTATTATTTCTCTTACATCTCATTCTAACTTTCTGAAATTGTAATTATCAGTTGCAGCTCTTCGAGGTGAATCTACTGATACCTATTTTATCCCCATTATTTGTTCATTTCTCTTCCACACCATTTTGTTTTTGGTGCCTTCAGCTATTTTTGTCGAAAACGTACCTTGTTCTCCATAAAGGATTTTCCGATCTAGTGACAGTGACACTACCAATCATTCTTTTTAATTTCCCTTGGTCTATCTAGTAAGACCGAGGCCACTTTTTATCTCGTCATCACCTTTCTCCTTCCCTCCACGAGACCTTTTTCCATTTTCCTTCCCAATCTCACCCCCAGTATTTCAGATTTATTCAGTCTTTTTCTTCTTTGTCCAAATATCTCTGCCCTGAACCATCCAAAACAACTCCCATCATTTTTCACCCTGTTGACTGAAAATCCTCACCCTCGTATCATTTGTGTAGAAGTTGTGAGGTCCCCTCTGTATATTCCACATTTCTTTACCCTTTTCTTCGTTCTTGGTATCCCTCGACTCCTCTCATCGAGATCTGTAGTTTGATACACATCTCGACACTCTATCCCTGACAGTTTTGACCTTTAAAAATCGACGTCCCCGATTACGTCATTACTGTATTCATTTCGTCGCCTCTCTGGAATTGTTGTAACTTCCACATTTCTTCACCTTTTTCTGTTGTTCTTGGTATCTATCAACACCTTTCTTCACACTCTTTTGATTTATAGCCTTTTTGACGCTGCATCCACTTCTTATTGTTTTAGAAAGTGGTCTCTTTCAAATCACGTCCTTCCCCTCATTCATTTTGCGGCCTTCTTCTCTGCTTCAATCCCAAAGTGATTACGTGGAGTCTTTTACAATAGTACTTTTTTCGTTTGTTTTGTTTATTTTGGTTCAGCCATTTGTCAAGCCACGGGTGAGGGCCTATGAACGGTCCGTGGCACAACTAACAGTCCATCGTTGGTTGTCCTCCACACTCGAGCCTGCGATACCGCATTCTCCAGTCATGTCAGCTATGTCAAGCCAACCCTTATCACAATCCATGGCCTCTGCCATGGTTCAAGCTGACCCTCAAACATCAGCCTCCTGTTTTCCTTTCCTCATCTCCCAACTGCCAGCAGCTCATCTTTCGCCCATCACATCCAATCCATCATCACCTCACTCCACGAGGTCCAATCAGTCCCTATCCTCAATCGTGTCTCCTAGATAACTGTGTATATACTGTCCTTCAAACTTCGATTTTCCGAGAGGTTTATCTCAACATCTGCGCCAAATCCACCCCGCCAAATACAATGAGGTCCTTCTCGGTCGCTTCCTCAACGACTGTCAAACACGATGGAGTTGGGCTCAAAATTAAGAACTCACCCTACTGATGTTAGCAGACGCAGCAGTTGATCGATTCAACAGCAAAGCCGATCTTTATCAACACCTACATGACCATCTGCCATATCGCTCAGTTGAAGCCATCAAACGCCGTCTGCAAGCACTCAAATGGATGACATTTGTCCCGCCATCATCGGACTCTGCATCAAACATTGGTTCCTATTCGACTACATCCTCACAAGCATCATCACACGAAAGCTATGTTACTAGATCAGAACTGTATGTACGTTCAAGGCCTCAAACCTGGTCCGCTCAAGACGCTCGGTTGATCTCAACTGCCAGATGTCTTGACTCCCCTTCACTCACGCCTAAACAGTTCTTCGCTCTTGTCGCTGAAACCATTGGCGACCGCACCACCGGTGCGGTTTGTAAGCGTCTATACAACTTAAAATGAAGACGTACGCTTAATCCATCTCTACCAACAGTAGTCCTCACTTCAACTACGTCTTATCGCCAAATTGAGCCAAGTACCTCGCCCACTGATGTGTTCACCGTCAACAGATCAGTCTCTGCTCCTACAAGTCCATACAGAACAACTTCATCTCCAACTGTTATAATCTCATCGAATATGTCGACTCAGCTGAAAGAACAGCGAGCCCTCCAGTTTGTCGTCATTAATGATTACACTGTTTTCAATGAATCCACCCAATCAATGCAAATACTGCAGTACCACTATGCAATAAGTACCGTCAACACAACAATTTTACATTCTCCCGCTGCTGTGGCAGTGATCCGACCACTTCTGGATACCATTGATATTGATGAATCGGTTCCAACTTATACTATCAACGCCTTCTCGCCCAAGCGAACTTCATCACCCACTCCAAACTTTGAACACGAAGCTCAACGACAAATTATGCCAACTACTCGACTCACTCAAGATGGTTTAACTCCCCTAGTGAATATGACACTCCATAAAAGCCTCCGCATGGACAATAAACATGCTAACCTCATGGCTGTCATCAATACACAACTGGCAAATCCATCTCAGCGGCTGGACACTGAATCCACTCGACAATTTATCCTGCAACTATATGCGAATGATATTATTCTTGAGGAGACACGTCAACTTCTGGATAAGCAGGACCAACAGCTATTCCCTACAAGATGGAAACCATCTAAGCAGCGATACGTCTCCGGTCTCCCATCAAACTTAAACAACAAGAAGAGGCGTCGCATTTTATATGCCTACATGCAAACGCTTTTCCACCGCTCGCCAAAAGATGTTGCGAACACGGTACTTGATGGCAGATGGAGAGACCCGTTTACATGTCAGCCTTCCGCTATAGGAAGCTTCAATGAATTTTGGATAGAAACCTTCACGCGCCCAGCCCTACCAGACACTAGACTGGTCCAGGAATACCTTCCAACTAATAACGACCTGATCGCCCCAGTTTCAACTGAAGAGATCAAATGAGCACTAAAAGAAATGGTCAAATCCGCGGCCGGTGTTGACCACATAACTTCCAGGGACCTCCAGAAAATTAACCACACTAGTCTGGCTGGGTATCTAAACACTCTTTTGCTGACATCTTTTCTACCTTCACCACTGCCACCTTCTAGGGTCACCTTCATTCCCAAGACATCACACCCGGATAACCCTACTGACTTCCGGCCTATCTCCATAACTTCTGTCGTTACGCGCTGTCTGCACAAGATTATCGCCAAGCGCTGGTCCAGATCATTCCCAATGGAAAAACTACAGTTTGCCTTCCTGCAGCGTGATGGCTGCTTCGAGGCGACCAATCTTCTTCACGCCATCTTGAGAGAAGCGCACTCCAACTATACAAGTTGCGCAATAGCTATTCTCGACATTTCGAAAGCTTTCGATAGCGTCCTACATCAAATAATTTTAAGGGTGGCTGAAAGTTTTGGTGAACCCTCAATGCTTAGAGAATACCTTACAAACTACTATCCCAACTCCTACAGTCTCTTCCACGA